TTTTAGTTAGAGTAATTATTAGTTTTAGTAGTGATTAATTTGGTGACTACGGTAATGAATCACCGCGGCTATGTTGCTATTGACTACGCGCATTTCCTACATATATACGGAGCTAGACGATAACAGCTAATGGAGTTAATACGGTAATTGTATACTTGAACGGTGCGCGTTTGAATGTACGTCATTATGAAGTATAAGAGATGACTTTAACAGTATTTAAATGACTACGGTAATGAAATTGTGGTATAGGCTGTGTTGCAGCGTATGCAACTATATGAGGGACGGGACTCTTTACAATATATTCAAATACTTACTTGATGAAGATAAAACCTAAGAAATATGGAATGCGTTGTTATAGGCTTTTCTGTAAGCGCACACGGAAGGTAAAGCTGCACATATAACCTTTGATCGGTGGACTGTCGGAAATTAAGGAATAACCGACCTACGTATAGAATAAATCTTGCTTGAAACAGTTGTGTTAACTCTAGGAACCGTTTTGTGACTAAGCTACATGTACGCTACTGCACGGAAATATAAACTGTATATGCATCTGGTATTTTGAACAGATGATGTTAGACATAGAAGGAGAAAATAATCATGGCTGTCGAAATATAGGAGAGAACTATTGGTGCCGCATATTAATGACACATAAACTGGAGGAGCCCACGACGCATTACACTTCAAATAACACTGGGAAGTTACTGTGTATTAAACAGTATATAATATATATAATGAGCAGTCATTTAGAACTTGTACACAGTAGATTGAGAGTTACAATATGGCAGTACTGATTCAACTTAACTATAACATTTTCTAGACAATAATAACAATGAAATAAGAAGTTTAGTCATAAAATAGGAATAGTTAAATGTTTCTTACCTTGAAACAAGAGAGAAGAGAGCTGTGAGATCCTTAGGGTTTATTCAAGCAAGTGTGCTGAGGACGTTGTTGTTGCATTAGGTGTTTAAGAGGTCGCCTTCTGCCTAGGCAATTTCGGCTGACCTGTCCCTCTTTGGGACTCCTGTGTGTGAGAAGGGTTCACATATCTATTGTGAGTTCGGTGTTCACATAATTTCTGTTTTTGCCTTGATATGATTTCTATTTTCTTATATTGATATGATTTCATTTTTATCCTTGGCTGCTCTGTTTATATACGTTCGAGCAGCTGTCCATCTCTCAGAAATAGAGTTAGTTTGGCCTTCGCTATTGCATCTCTTGGCTTTAGGAGATCTATGACAGATAGCGGATCTAACTGCAATTCTTGTTTTAACCTAGCCCGGGCTGGGGCATGGTCTTGACATTCTAGTAACAGGTGGTCAATGGTTTCAGCCTGATTGCAAGATGAACAAACCTTGTCATAGTGCTTTTTGTGACCAAGTCTGAGGCGTGAGATAGCAGTTTCAATTTTCCTTTCATTTGAGTATGAGTTTGGCTTTTGTTGGACCTTGGGTTGAATTTTGTATAGCCATCTGCCGATCTTACTTGCGTCCCATTGGGTTTGCCATCTTTTTGCTATGGAGGCTTTGATTTTGCTTTTTATCTCTAGTTTACTAAAGGGAATAGGCTGTATATCCGCTTTGTCTAGAGCTAGCTTCGCCAGTGAGTCTGCTTTTTCATTTCCATGAATATCTATGTGAGAGGGGATCCAACACAGCTCCACTTGTTGCCCTTGGTCCGATAGTTTTGTATATTCGTATAGAATATTGTTGACTGTGTTTGGCCTGGAGTTTGAGTTTCTTCCACTGATGGCCTGAAGTGCACTTATCGAGTCTGATAGGACGACTGCCTTTGCTTCCGGGAGTTCCGGTATGAGTTTGAGTGCATGATGAATTGCCTCCAATTCAGCCGTGAATACTGACTGACCATCGGGCAAGCGAACTGAATGTGCTTGGGGTTTGGAGCTGTGGATATGGATCCCGTAACCAGCACTGTTGTTGATAGGATTCTTGGATCCATCAGTGTATATATGGGCCCAGCTGTCCCAGGTAGTTTGAATTTTAGTGATAGCTACTGATCGTAGTAGGGTTGGGTTTTCTCTTTTAGTGACTTCTGATGTTAAAGCAGTGTCAACTTTGGGAGTTTGTAAAGTCCAGGGAGGGTGTAACCCTTTGTAGTGACTTTCTGGAGGCTGAATGTCATCGCAATTGTGACTTCGAATGAGTTCACGTACTAATATCCCAGATGGCTTTAGTGAGGGATTTTTTCGAGCTAGGGCCTCATCTCGAGCGTTTTTGTCTTGCTATATCTTTTTAACCAAAGGGTTTGATGTTCGTCCCCAGAACGATAATATTGCCTGCTCTCGTCTTAGTTTCAATGGGAGTTCTCCCGTTTCTACTTGTAGTGCTTCTAGTGAGGTGCCTGTCGCTGCGCCTGTGGCCAGTATTAGGGCTTTGTATTGTATTCTGTCTAGTCGCCTCAAGACAGTATTTGATGCTGAGTGAAAAGCCTCACAACCATAGTCAATTTTTGATCTGATAAGAGCTTTGTAGAGGTCCAGCTGAGTGTCCCTCGATGTGCCCCAAGATGTGCCTGAAATTGCCCGTAATACGTTCAGGTCTTTTTGACATCTGTTTTCCACATATTCTATATGCTTGCGCCAAGTGAGGTGTTGATCAAGGATAACTCCAAGAAATATTGCAGATTTTTCGAATTTGATAGGTTTGCCTTTTATGGAGACACGGGGTATCATAGCATCTTTCCCCCGGCTTTTGAATAGAACTCCAACAGTTTTTTCACTTGAAAGGGTGAATCCCCATTTATTGCACCATTGATCTACTCCGTCCAGGGCTGACTGGAGTTTTTTTTTCTGATTTGTGAGATATCTCTGTGCTTTACCCATATTGCTCCGTCATCAGCGAACTTAGAAGTTTGGGTAGGAGAGTTGACATGGTCAAAAAGATCATTGATCATGATATTAAACAGGGTTGGGCTTATAATGCTGCCTTGTGGCGTGCCATTGTCCAGTGCCATAGGATCCGATCGATTGTTCCCTATTTTAACTGAAAGCGACCTGTCTTGCAGGAAGCTGTCTATGAAGTTTGCCATGTTCCCTTCAACTCCATTTTGTGATAGTTTTGAGAGGAGTCCGTCATGCCATACCATGTCGGTGCTGAGGACCAACACCCAAGGAGTTATATACCCCCACAGCTCTACTCTTATCACATTAACAGATACTTTGAAGTTGTAATTTCGGTCTCTGTTATCTGCCCTGGGCTGTCAAAGTTGACTACACAAAAGCAGGTGGTAATAGAATGGTATCAGTATTGCCTGAGAAGAGTTTATTTTAATTAAAGTTTAAGATGGTGGTCAAAACCTGCGCCAGCTGGTAACAAAACATTTATCAAGAGAACAAGGGCCGGGGCGAACGTATGCGCCGTCTTTATCTATGATTACGTAATTTACTGTTCGCGTGAATGAGCTTGCCAAGGAGCAGCCGTCATGGTCGACCAGTGGCGATAAAAACGAGAAATACTGGAATAGCGACTTTCGAATTTTAGACTTTCCTAGTTTAAGTTTAATTTGTTAAAAATATAAAAAGTGTAATGAAATATATGCACTGTAACAATATTTACAATTGACGTGGATGAAATTCATCACCAACGTCACTGCTATCACATAAATTACATGTTTGTACTTGTCTCCAGCGACCCACTATGACAGGATGTTCTGAACTGAATTAGTGAGAACCAGTGTTTTATAACATAATTTATTGAAATATATTTCAGCTACAAGTTTTTCACCCTCTGGGTGCCGAGTTATTTTTCTGACGCACATTTTCCTAAGATCGGAAAAGTGAAGGTTGTGCGAGAATTGCGCTCACGCGGCACTGGATCTACCTCTGGCTCTAAAATTACGCAGCGGTTAAATTTTCTATTTGATGGTGTAAATTTAACTGCAAATATTAACCGGTGTTAAAAAAAGACACTGTTTTCCGAGAATTTATTCTGCGTTGAAAAACAGTAAGTAAATTTCTCCGCTTTTTATCGTACACCGATAAAAGTACTGTGCGACGATTTTTTATATTTCGAAGCTTTACGGAAACTGTGAGCGAACAAAATACTGCTACTGTACCTGAAACGTGATTTTGTAAACACTATCCAATATGGCGGAAAGTTCACTTCGGCGTTCGTGTTTGCGTATTTTCCAAAACATTCGAAACGATTCTAGGGTTATCGGAGACATTTTGGAATGATCATTGGTGATTTGATAAAAGACAGATACCCGTGATCACTAATATACTATTTTTGAAATTCTTTTCTCCGGATAAATATCCGAAATTTAGATTTCAAAACATGCTGTAAATAACGCCGTGAGTGTTGATTTAGTAACGTGTAAAAATGGCGACATTTACTATGTACCTAATTTTCAGATCACTTTCAGTACTTTTGCTTGGCCTAAAATGCCAGTGGGTAATATCACAGAATAGGGAATTTTCCCCTTTATCAAAAACTGTGAAGTGTATCTGTGTGCGTGATGTATTTTGAATTTTATTCGACTTTAAAGTGAGGGTTGAAGAGGAGGGACATATATGTCCCTCTGGCATCCAGGGGGTTAAAGATAGATTCTACCCGTGAAGATCCGGGATAGAATAGATCTTCAGCAACCCATGCTTGCTGTAAAAGGTGACTATGCTTGTCGTAGGGGACTAACGGGATCGGGCGGTCAGACTCGCTGACTTGTTTGATGCATGTCATCGTATCCCAATTGTGTGGACCGATGCTTATGATGACAATCACTGGAATGTGTGGTCCAGACTCGATTATTTACAGACCGCCGTCATATAGCTGGAATATTGCTGAGTGCTGCGTTAAACAACAAACAAACAAACAAACAAACAAACAAACAAACAAACAAATAAAGATAGATTCAATTGACAATAACCAAATATTCGTGTTACTTTTTAGCACGCTTGTCATCTGATAACAGTTATACAATACACAAAATACTTTAATTGACATTCTCCTCTACTTGTAAAGGCCGGCGCCGGCGTCACACAGTAGTATTGTTGTCTCTCGCGCAGGGGCTTTGTGTGAATGGGCGTCCTTCAGGTTAGCCGAGCGCAGTGAGCGAGTACAACGTTCAACCTTGTCCATTGATAGCGTAATACCAGAAAGACGCACCGACCCAACGAGAGTGTGGTTTGTAGGCGTCAGGTGTTGACATTAGGGTCGCAAGGTAAAACCTCACAATCCGTTTGTCTTGGATAGAAATAGCGACCGGGTGAGAATAAACGACCAGCGAACGATGACCTGTTAACGTTGTGAATTTGCGGACACCGTCATCTGTTGAATTAGAATTTGCAGTCCTGACTGTCTCTCCCGTGCACTGACTGTAGACCTCGTCCACACGGATAATACGCTTCACGTTTAAATCCAAGATGGCGCCGTGTTTTCTCGTCGCTGTGACCTGTCTGACTGTGGTGTTGGTGGTTTGCCCCTGTGCGTGTCAGACAGCGGACCTGTGTTCATCCTTGCAACCCCTGGCGCCTCTATGCGCCAACATGACGTACAATGTCTCGTCATTCCCTAACGCCTTTGGTCACAGGAATGCAGAAGAAGCGTCCATGGCTATTCAGCAGTTCTACCCATTGGTGAAAATACAGTGTTCAGACGTGATGGTTGACCTGTTGTGTTCAGTGCACTTCCCTGAATGCGACCCCGAGTTTGGCAGGATTCCCCCATGTCGGGAGATGTGTGCCACGGCCCGACTCTGGTGTGAAAGTTTGATGAAAAGGTTCGGATTTGAATGGCCGATTGTTTTAAATTGCAATAATTTCCCTAGTAAAGCGAACAACGTTAATTGTATGAATGTCGAGTCCCGCATGACAACTACAACTACAACTACAACAACCACAACTACGACTACAACGACGACGGCACCGATGTCAAACATTCCCGACTTCTGCCGGAACCTACCATACGGGATGCCGTCACTTCCGAACGTTCTCGGACATTGGACATTCGTTGACGCTCGGAGAAACATCGAAAGGTTCATGTCAATGATAGCGAGCGGATGTTCGGATAGACTGTCACAGTACATGTGTGTGCTTCACTATCCGACCTACGAGCCAACGACACAGAAGCCAATTCCGCCATGTTGGGAGTTCTGCCTGGCGGTGAGAACACAATGCTTCTCCCATCTCCCTAAACCCAGGCCGCGTAGCTTTTATTGCGAGCGTCTCCCAAGTAAAATCACCCCCGGTTCCAAGTGCTGGGGATATGATATGGAAATGTACAGCGCACCCAAGTTCCCATGAATTTAATTATTTATAAATTGATAATCCAGTTGCATGTGACAAGTCATTTTTAACTTGATAAAGTAGCATTATGTTTTGTTGGTTATTGTTGGTTTGTTGTTTAACGCCGCACTCAGCAATATTCCAGCTATATGACGGCGGTCTGTGAAAAATCGAGTCTGGACCAGACAATCAAGTGATTGACACGAGCATCGATTCACGCAACTAAGACACGATGACATGCATCAACCAAGTCAGCGAGCCTGACCGCCCGATCCCGTTAGTCGCCTCTTACGACAAGCACAGTCGCCTTTTAAGGCAAGCATGGGTTGGTGAAGACATATTCTATCCCGGATCTTCACGTGACAGTCCGGGCTAGTACAAGCAGTCACCCACGCACGCACGCACACACGCACACACACACACACACACACACACGTTCATGCACGTCGCTAAACAAATGAAATAATGAACGCGACGTAAACGCCATTTCACCTCTTACACGCACCATGACGTCATTTGCAATAGAAATGACTATGAAAACGAGTGAGTGAGTTTGATTAAACGCGGCTTTTAACAGTATTCCAGTTATATCACGGCGTGTCAGCTTAGTGTGGGAGGAAAGCCCGAAGTGATGCAGGTCTCAGACGTTTACCACTTCGGTGAAACCCACGAGCACGGGTATGGTGCTGACAAACCTAGAAACATAATCGGAGCGAACCGGGATTCGAACCAACAATCATAGGATTCTGGCGTACGCAGGGGACGCAACTTTGCACAGCGAATAGCGGCGGCTTAGACGACTGGGCCATTTAAATTGAAAAGGAGCCCAAGTAAGATGGGCGATTCCACCTGAAAACTGGAAAATCTAGACTCGCGGGAAGAGTAGAAATAAACTGCTGTCCACGTTATGCAGGCAAGGATTAAGGGATTGGGGTATAGTCTATTAAACTCTGTGATACATTTCTTTATTGGCTTTTCTGGACACAGACTGTGGCATATGAAAATCATACAATTTATATTTAGATTATTTACAATTTATAACAAAATATTCAGCAATAGAGTGTAGATATTGTTTTTACCCAGAAGACTTACACGTCTGCATGAGGACTGACAAAGACTTAATTTATTTAACACACCTTTTTGTACTATTAAACAATGTGGAAGCTTAACACGTTTGGCTTCTCTTGGTTGCAAATCAATGCTGTAGCTTTTAAAATATTAAGACAGCTTTGTTGGGATTCCAACAACTGTCAGGCCTCGGTTTGGGGAATTAGCTATTGGGAGCTAGCCTTGAAACGAGAGAAGAGAGCTGTGAGATCCTTAGGGTTTATTCAAGCAAGTGTGTCATATCATTCAAGTTACATCAATTAATATTTAATAGTGACATACAATGATAATAATGATAATAATATGCTAACACAGTGTCCATCTCATAAAGGCATAATAATAAAAGCAATGTAATTTATATTGGAGTATGTACGGTAACATTATACAACATATGCGGTATTTACCAGTATAATAACGGTAATGCCAAATAACATTTCTTAAAAGCTAAATTGAGAAGTCGTAACATTTTAATAGAGCATGTACGGTAGACTGCACCAACTGCTTAGATGAGGAACATGACATTTACTTATGAAAAGACGGTAAAAATTAATATTTGTAGTTTCAGTAATAATTATCACAACATAATAATTTCGGCAAATACAGGAAGTAAATACTTGATCCAAACAAAGATACGAATGTACGCGGTAGAAGATATAGCTCGGTTTTAGTTAGAGTAATTATTAGTTTCAGTAGTGATTACTTTGGTGACTACGGTAATGAATCACCGCGGCTATGTTGCTATTGACTACGCGCATTTCCTACATATATACGGAGCTAGACGATAACAGCTAATGGAGTTAATACGGTAATTGTATACTTGAACGGTGCGCGTTTGAATGTACGTCATTATGAAGTATAAGAGATGACTTTAACAGTATTTAAATGACTACGGTAATGAAATTGTGGTATAGGCTGTGTTGCAGCGTATGCAACTATATGAGGGACGGGACTCTTTACAATATATTCAAATACTTACTTGATGAAGATAAAACCTAAGAAATATGGAATGCGTTGTTATAGGCTATTCTGTAAGCGCACACGGAAGGTAAAGCTGCACATATAACCTTTGATCGGTGGACTGTCGGAAATTAAGGAATAACCGACCTACGTATAGAATAAATCTTGCTTGAAACAGTTGTGTTAACTCTAGGAACCGTTTTGTGACTAAGCTACATGTACGCTACTGCACGGAAATATAAACTGTATATGCATCTGGTATTTTGAACAGATGATGTTAGACATAGAAGGAGAAAATAATCATGGCTGTCGAAATATAGGAGAGAACTATTGGTGCCGCATATTAATGACACATAAACTGGAGGAGCCCACGACGCATTACACTTCAAATAACACTGGGAAGTTACTGTGTATTAAACAGTATATAATATATATAATGAGCAGTCATTTAGAACTTGTACACAGTAGATTGAGAGTTACAATATGGCAGTACTGATTCAACTTAACTATAACATTTTCTAGACAATAATAACAATGAAATAAGAAGTTTAGTCATAAAATAGGAATAGTTAAATGTTTCTTACCTTGAAACAAGAGAGAAGAGAGCTGTGAGATCCTTAGGGTTTATTCAAGCAAGTGTGCTGAGGACCTGACTGACTGACTGATATAGATGATTTAACGTGCGCTTTCCGACTGCAGCGTATTTCGCACACGGGCCTGGCCGGACCATTTAGTGTATTCCGAGAAGGGTGAAAGTGGTGTGTGCAACCCAAGAGGGGGTTTTTAGGGGTTGCTTATATTGATTTTTTGAAATTTTTAAATTTGGAATAAATGCCGAGGTGGGTGGAGGAGGGAACTAAGGGAGCCGGGTGAGGTGGGTGTTTGTATGTTTATTGGATTTTGGATTGGTAGATTAATTAGTTTTTAGATGCGCTTAATTAGGTCTGTTTTGATTAGGAATACGCCTAGGGCCTTGAAGTTTTCTAGTTTATTTTGAGGGTTTAGTATTTCATCTAGAGTAGGAACCTTATTTAGATTGAGGTTGGTTTGTAGTGTGGTTCTGTGTGTTTGGTAGTGGGTGCAGTGGATGAGTGCGTGTTCTGTGGTGTCGGGTTGTTTGCAGTGGGGGCAGTGTCCTGTGGTGTGTCTTTTAAGTTGTTTTAGGTGGTTATTTAGGTTCGTGTGTCCTGTTTGGAGTTTTGTAATTAATCTGTCAATTTTTTTAGAGGGGTGTAGGATTTTAGGTTTGGCTAGTGGTTTTCTGAGCACTTTTTTGATTTGGCTATTTGAGTTTTGATATTGATTATGCCATTTTTTGGTTATTTTTTGTTTGTTTACACTTTTAATTTCTGATTTTGAGATGGGTAGGTTTAGGCTTATTTCTGGTATTTTGAGAGATAATTTAGCTGCTTTATCGGCGCTTTCGTTGCCGTAAATTCCTACGTGGGCGGGGATCCACAAGAAGGTTATTTGTTTGCCTGCTTTTGTTAGGTCGTTGGAGCTTTTAAGTATTTGGTTTATTAATTTAGGTCGCTTTTTGGTATTTTTTTTTTGGAGGGCTTGTAGTCCACTAAGGGAGTCGGTGAGAATTAGGATTTTTGTGTTGTTTTTAGATTGTTGGTTATGCAGGGCTGAGGCCATGCCCATAAGTTCGGCCGTGAATATAGATTGGTTGTTCGGGAGTCGGTAAGATTGTGTGGATATAACTGGTTGTGTGGTATGGACTCCGAAGCCTGTGTGGTTGGAGGTCGGGTCTGAAGATCCGTCAGTGTATATGTGACACCAATTTGGCCAATTTTCGTGTATGTATGCAAGTGTGGTGGTTTTAGCTATGTTTGGGTCGGTTTGTTTATTTATTTGGTTAGCTAGCGTTGTGTATATTTGGGGTATTTTGAGTTTAGGGGTGAAGATATTTGATTTTTTGCAGTTTTGTTTAAGATTTTGAGTTTGGTGTTCATTGAGGTAGTTAGTTATTCTTTGGGATATTGGGGTGAGTAAGGGGTGTTTGCGAGCTAGAGCTTGGTTTCTTGGGCTAATGTTTTGGTTAAATAGGTTTTGGATGAGAGGGTTTGTTTGGGACGCGGCCCAGAAATTAAGGCTTAGATGTTCCCTGCGTAGATGAGGACCAACACCCAAGGAGTTATATATCCCCACAGCTCTACTCTTATCACATTAACAATTACTTTGAAGTTGTAATTTCGGTCTCTGTTATCTGCCCTGGGCTGTCAAAGTTGACTACACAAAAGCAGGTGGTAATAGAATGGTATCAGTATTGCCTGAGAAGAGTTTATTTTAATTAAAGTTTAAGATGGTGGTCAAAACCTGCGTCAGCTGGTAACAAAACATTTATCAAGAGAACAAGGGCTGGGGCGGACGTACGCGCCGACTTTATCTATGATTACGTAATTTACTGTTCGCGTGAATGAGCTTGCCAAGGAGCAGCCGTCATGGTCGACCAGTGGCGATAAAAACGAGAAATACTGGAATAGCGACTTTCGAATTTTAGACTTTCCTAGTTTAAGTTTAATTTGTTAAAAATATAAAAAGTGTAATGAAATATATGCACTGTAACAATATTTACAATTGACGTGGATGAAATTCATCACCAACGTCACTGCTATCACATAAATTACATTTTTGTACTTGTCTGCAGCGACCCACTATGACAGGGTGTTCTGAACTGAATTAGTGAGAACCAGTGTTTTAGAACATAATTTATTGAAATATGTTTCAGCTACAAGTTTTAAGCCTCTGGGTGCCGAGTTTTTTTTCTGACGCACATTTTCCTAAGATCGGAAAAGTGAAGGTTGTGCGAGAATTGCGCTCACGCGGCACTGGATCTACCTCTGGCTCTAAAATTACGCAGCGGTTAAATTTTCTATTTGATGGTGTAAATTTAACTGCAAATATTAAACCGGTGTTAAAAAAGACACTTCTAAGTGTTTTCCGAGAATTTATTCTCCGTTGAAAAACAGTAAGTAAATTTTTC